GCGAAATCATAGATTTCAAAGGATGGCCACGACTTGTTTGGCTCATCACTGAGCATTTGGTAGGTTGCTCGAGCTTCCTTTTTTATAATTGCGAGATTCTCGAATCAACCCGTTATTCTCTTTTATTTGCAATAAATGGAAGATATTTAGCAGTGACGGTTTTCATAACGAGAAATAAAGAGAGACAGGTATCTTAAAGTTGCGCCTTTCTCACCGTCTTGTTTTAGAACTTGGACATTTCAAAGTTTTTTAGTTGAAAAGGCAATGCATATATGCATCTTTTTTTCAGTTGAGAAACCTTGTTGGTCTTTTTCAAAATTCCGAAAAATTGAACTTTGTTCAGGCTTGATTTCCCCAAATTGTAATTGAAATTTCAAAAAGTTATTTATGAATTCCCCAATGATATTCTTTTTCAGAAGAAAAGCGAAAATATCATTTTCCTGAATTCCACTTACTTTTTGTTCTAATTCAATATATGATCTACCTGGGTTGACTTTTAACCAAATCACAGTACGCAGTACTATTCGAAACTTATGGATGACTTTTTAGAACAAACCACCGAAAGACTGGTCTCTGCCTCCACGCATAACTGACGATTCTGTTGCTTACATCGAATACACAACCGATAAGGAAGGAAGCGTTAAAGGCGTATGCGTAACTCGACAAGCCCTGCTTTCACATTGCAGGTAAAATTACTAATGAGACAGGGACTGGTAGTTTTCCAATTTTAACTTGTATTTATTTTACTTTCTGATTCAGGTGTTTATCGACAGCGATGGGTTACTCGAGCTCCGATACGATGGTTTCAGTACTCGACTTTAAACGCGAAGCTGGTCTGTGGCACTCCATCTTAGCGGTTTGTTTTACTTTTTATTCTAAAATAATGTTTTTGGTATTTTGATCAACTGCTGTTTCACAAGAATATAATAGCAACTTTTTCTGAATGCTTTGACCGAATTCAGTGGTGGCCACTGGTAGTAGTCGGGTTCTTTTTCTCGCTTCTTTTTGTCTGGGGATCAGATTTTGTATT